CACACACACACACAGCTTCTCCAACTACCAGTATCCCAACTGGAGTGGTGTATTTGTTACGAGTAGAGTGGTGTATTCATTACCAATGGTGTATCTGGACATACACCGACACATTACCACTCAAAGTCACTGTTCACATTACCATTCCCTGGATGAATTTCATATGATTTTGCATGTCAAGTTATGATCTGTATTTGAGTTTTTTCAAACATTTGAAAATGTTCTTAGCTCTCTGGGGTAAAAAGCAGCAGCTGGCTGCATTTAGCCCAGTGGCCTTAACGTAGCCATTAGCAGTGACTGAATTAGCAACGGCCAAACCAAGAATTCCACCTGTAAACGACAAGTTCTACAGTGCCATGAAAGGGTGTATTGCCAAGGTGTTTCTCCTCATTCCCTCTTTCTAAAGCACACCAAATCTTAGAGTTGGAAACTGTTGCTTATTAAAGCATACCTATCCACGGGAAGTCAAGTTCTGGAATGCAAGTCAGTTACGGGGGAAGGACATTGGGATTAAACTGTTCTTCCTTTAATGGGAAGCACTACAGTTTTAGGGTTCTCAAATCAAGCTGTGTAGCCAGCTGGGCTCTGAGATGTGGCTTTGGCAGATAAGCCATCAAATCTCTCACTTCCACCTTCCTGGCCAGTACAATGAGAACATTACCAGGACCTACTTGATGGGCTCCCTGTGAGTATGGGATGAAGTCATGCAGGTGTCATCAGTATAGTAAAACCTTAGTGGACCTCAAAATTAATACAAATACTAATTACTAAGAACACATTTTAGTAGCATAGTGTATTCTAGTTTTGTATCCATAAAGATGAAGTGCACTGGGGCTGGGGATTTAGCTCAGTGGCACAGCACCTGCCTGGCAAGTGCAAGGAGGTCGTGAGTTCAATTCCTGGTACCGGAAAAAAAAAAAAAAAAAGATAAAGTGCACTATAATTCAGCTTTCCCAAGCATATCTGAATTAAAATTCAACTCACGATATTTATGTTTAATGCCAAGTAGAATGAATGCGGCAGGTGACATTTCAGTGCACGGTTTTTAATCTTACCACTGAACACTATAGTTTTCCTAGAAAGATTTTAGTTATGACCTTGAAGCTTATCCTTACTTCCTTTTTAAGATCCGAAGGGCAACTCTTGGAAATCCTCTTTGCAAATCTGCCAAGCTATTATTTCCTGTTTATACTTCTATTATACGGATTCAATTACGCAAAAACAAATTGTAATAAAGCCATATTAAACCAACTCCAAATCGGCTTCCAAATACCTGAAATACAATCAGATCCGTTTTGAAAGTGTAAGGATCTTTGATCACAGGTGATTAATGACTTAAGCCTTTTAGAAAAAGGAGGCAGCCACCGAAATCATTTCCTCACTCTGCTTACATGAGTGATGCAGACAAGAGGTGGCGTTTCCAGATTACTAGGTGTTCAGTTATTGTTCACGGAGTCCAAATGTGAGACAAACAAGCTGGGCGTGGTGGCGCACGCCTGTAATCCCAGCACTCAGGAGGCTGAGGCAGAAGGACTGCCACAAGTTTGGACTACATAGCAAGACCCTGTCCCAAAACAAAACAAAAACAAAACAAAACAAACTCTACCCTCAAATGTGCCTGTATTCAGGATTTGTGTCCAGGTAGTCAGAATTAACAGGAACCTATGTTCCAATGAGGATGTTTTGGGACATATTAAATAAGATTACTAACATCACCAGAGGGGCATTTCCTGTTCCTACTAGGGAAAGGAGGATCAAAGCAGACTTCCTTTTAAAGTATTTGTTTTCCTATCCCTACTTCTCTTTACAACTTGAGAAATCAAAGAAAAAAATTTACACTTTTACATAATAATGTTGAATAAGCAAAGGCAAATTTTCAAGATTCTGACACCACCATGTCAAATATTTGTAAAATTAAACAAAGCATATTGAGTTTGGATTAAACTTCTTATTAAATCACAGGCATAACAGTTGTGTGGTCAAAAGGTAGAGTGGACCTTCAGTATCCACAGGGAATTAGATCCATGATTCCCCTGGGATACCAAAATCTGTGGATGTGCAAGATCCTCCTGTAGAATGTGCATAACTGCATATAATCTAACACATGCTTCCATAGACTCACAACCACTACATTACTTGTAATACCTAAGGTGACATAATGATCTGTAACTAGTTCGACTGTATTGCTTAAAGAACAGTGACAAGGAACAATGTCTGTACATGTTCCTTACAAGTGCAAGTTTTTCCAAATTTTTTTTTTTTTAATCTGAATTGTGGCTGTTTGTTTGAACCTGTGAATGTGAAAACTACCCACAAGGAGGGCTAGCTGCACTATCCTCTCCCGGCTCAATCTCTGAATGGTATGAGTTATTGAATAAAAGTCTGGAGCACAGAGTATAGACACTCTTATCACAAGAACGGTCTTACTGACTGTAAGAGCTCAAACTGGATTTGAATCTTCCTGTTAGCATTTACTAGTTGGGTGACCTTAGGCAAACTACAAAAGCCTTCCAAGCCCTGGTGTTCTGATCTGGAATTTGGAGCTAACAGTACCAATGTATCATGCGGCTTGAGCAGGGTTAATTCAGAATGAGATGCATTTAAGAATGAGCAGCTGTTTCCTAAGTACCCAATGTGTGTTATTATTTGAATGTAACAAGGAGGATTTTCGGTCTTCAAAAAGACTGGACATCTCCAGAAACCATATTCCCCTGCCTGTCAGTGCCCTAATCGTGGAGTACAGCCAAACTAACTAATGTCTATGGCTTAGAAGTGGGGGTTGGGGGGCTGGGGATTTAGCTCAGCGGCAAAGCGCCTGCCTGGCAAGCGCAAGGTCGTGAGTTCGGTTCCTGGTACCGGAGAAAAACCAAAAAA